GTTTGAAAATGACCTGTTGCACAAACATCAGTTCGCTTGAGAAACAAACTCATTCAAATTCCAAGTCGTATATTATAGCCCTGAATGAACCCTAAAATAATACTCTCGTTAGCTTACAGGGACGCAAACAGTGCTCTCTGAAAACTCTCATAAAGTCAAGGCGACATTTGTGAAGCAGAATTCACCAAGCGTTGGATTTGTTCACCTATTAATAGAGGACGTGAGCTGGGTTTAGACAGTGCAAGACAGGGTAGTTTCACCCTATGATGTGTTGTTGAAATAGAAAATGATATACTGTTTCTGATTGGCTTAAAATAATGTGGTAAATTGTGATAACGCCGGAGAAGCCTGAAATAATAGCGAGGTCAGAAACACTGATCTATACGCATCAGCCCTCATCATTACGCCACAGCTTCTGCGTGCCGGGTCAGGAAATAAAATAGCTTCCAAACAAAGATATCAGTGTTGCTGCGACTTCAAAGGCAGACTACTTATGTCCGGACTGGATCTGAAAGGAGAGATTGCGCGGTCGGAGCACATGCCCTTTAATTCGACAGGCTTTTCATCTGCCTCCTGGAAACACCACCACGGGGCCCAAACCAAAGCTTGACTCCAAATCCAGCTTTCAGCAAAACATAAACCACTTTTCTACCAACTTTCTTTAGTAAAACATGCCTTGGGGGGAAGCATATTGAACATTTTCTCATAAAAGGCTGATGGAATGGAATTATTGAAAAAAAAAACTGTCAAATGTAACATAAATAACAAACAAACAAACGTGATGGTTTGATGCGGGGCAGAGAGCTAACATTTCAAATAAATCTATATCAAAATGTCACCCAGAGCAGCCGCTATATGTTACCCTATCAACCAAAACAAACGTGGCATTTTCGATAATGCCAATCTGTCCTATATAGGCCAGGCCGCTTTAGAAGAAAAAAACTTGAAAGTGTATATTGCATTTAAATTCAAATGGCATTGCCTCGTGAACGGTGCTGATGCAAATTCAGTTTTTAAAGAAGACATGTACAATAATGTGTTATAATTGTTGTTTTTTTTAGCATGTACCACATATATTTCTCAATTTAATCTAATTTTTCTCTTCTATATGATTGTATTTATATTCAAATGAATATTAAAATGCAATGATAAAGCTACAATGTGTGTACAATACAATACAATACAATTTATTCTTGTATAGCCCTAGGTCACAACAGAAGTCATCTCAGAGGACTTAACAAAACCATTGAAATCACCAACACAGGTCAGAGAATCAACAGTTAAAACACATGAAGAATATAAATCACACACAGAGGAAAATGTCCATACATGTTGTAGAATGCTAAAGTGTCCTGATCATCACCAATCCTTTCTGTTGGACACTAACTGTCCAACAAGACCCTCCTGCATCGACAAGGAAAAACTCTTAAAAAACCCAGTGGGAAAAAGTGAGAAACCTTGGAGGAGAACTAGGGAAACCCACAGGGAGGGAGACCCATATGAGAAAGGGATCCGCTCCTCCGGACGGACAGGCTAAGGATCTAGGACCTAAGCTAGCTACAGAACGTGGACCAGTGGACGCTGAACGTGGACAGGTCCGGTGCAGGACCGAAGCACTCCCAGGCGGGTCGGGCGGGGCAGTCCGCAGGTGTAGATGGAAGAGGCCAGGCTCAGAGATCCCGTCATCGTACCATGAAACAGACAATGGGACAACGGGTGAATAGCAATGAACAAACTACAGTCAGAATCCTAAAAATGCTAAACAGATAAAGTAGGAAGGAGGAGAGGATAGTGCTCAAGTTACCATACTTCTCCCAGCAAACTGACTCCCTATGCAGCTTGACTGACACTCTGAGGAGTTTAACCTTCTCCGAGTCTTACCTTCCTAGCCATATGCTAAACTAAAGAGGACTGTTTTAAATCACAATGTGATTGAAATATGTGAAACTACGTGTCATACATGTTTGGAAAGCTTAGAATCAACACTTGTTTGACTGAAAAGGTCTTGGAATCTGGTGCCTTGTGTGGCCGCGGTTTTTCACACATCTGCACCCCTTTCACGCCAAATATTTGCAGTCCTGGCTTAGTTGTGTTTGGAGCTGCTACTGTCGGCTTACTTTTCATTCAACACATTCACAGTATTTTTTTGTGGCAATAGAATTATATTAATGACACATTTACTCCAACCCTATTTTCTAACATGTTATATTTATGTCCATGTTATTCCCACCACATTACCGAGCCGTATTGTAAAAAGTGCTACTGATATTTAAAGTTTCTCCTTAATAATAGAATATTAATTGAAGTATATTTGTCCATCTAGATTAGTCCACAAGCTGACTCCAGTCTTTTTTTGTATTATTCCATTGTTATTATTTTCTATTGTGTTGTCTTTAAATGATATGTAGGCTGAGCATGGCAGCCTACGCCCCAGCTCACCCGTCACGTCAAATGAGATGAGAGAAGGAACCCTCTCTTTGGGGCTCAATACTCACCTCTAACATCACCCACACTATTACTGTTTTGCCTGGTAGTGTTTGCAAATGAGTTAATTATCTATGAATCTATAAAAATAAGAAATAACAAACTGTGTTTTTTGGTTTTCATTGTATGGACGCTTCGTGTTCCTTAATTTTCAAAAGATGTCCTTGTAAGATGTTAAGGTCCAGTACCAAGTAGGTAAAATGCTAAACAAAAAAATGTGGATTGTAGCTGGTGCATACAGGTTTAGAAATAAAGAAGCAATTGAAACATCGATGGACTAGAAAATAACTATTACTAAGACATACATTTTACAGTTTTTATGAGAATGAGCTGCTTATCGATTTTCATCAACTCAACTCTTCTCTGTTTAATGAGAAGCAGTGCGTTTAATTAAACTATATTTCCTGTTACTACAAATCCACATTCGAAGCAAATGCAAAAAGCAATTACCGTCAAATAAAAGTGTCAAAGTACTCCTTGGTTTTGGTTACATGGACTGGGTAATGCTGTTCTGTGGGCAAGAGCTATCCAACTGTTTAACCCTGTGGTTCCCAAAGTGGGGGGCATTAATGAACAAAAATACAGTGGGGTAAATTACATTGTGCTAGCGCAAGATGGACACATTTTTGACACATTACAATCTGCAGTTAGGGCTGTGGTTTATATTTACAGTATTACAATGTGTGAAATAAACTGCAACGGACTCTGAAAACAAAAAAATCTTATGTACCAAAGAGGAGCCCAGCAGAAAAAGAATGGGAATCACTGGTTTAACCACAAGGACAGGGCCATGCTTTGTAAGAACTGGACATTAATTCGTTCTTCATGATCCAGAGTGTATCATCTTAGTATTTTATTATCCATTATCTAAACTAATAGGTCTAGTTTAACGTGTGCATATTCTGAGTGCTCTTATTCCTCTTTTGTTGTAATTATTGTATTTATATGTATTATTTATAAATATAAATTGTTATATACTGACATAAACTCTAACTTAAACATTATTGGCCCTTTAGATTTGTTACCATCAATGATATGATAGGAAAGTATCTGTACAAATATAAAGAAATCACCTTTGCCTATGACTACAGTACTTGCGACAAAAGTTGTGAAACATTCATATTTGCTTCTTTTCTTAAAGTTTAGCTAATTGTTCGGTCTGCTCTCCCTGATTTTTGACTCTGGGTAAACGGTAACACTGCAAAGGAAAGTCTCTGTCTGATCTATTGTGACAGCCGAGATATAAACAACAATACGGACAAAAACGTGTCACTTTAAAATGTTGCTCAAAGCCACATTTATCCCAACTGACGGGATTTATTTTTCTCTGTATAAAAGTTAAATGATGTCATTTTGGAGCAGATGTGTTTGCCGTGTGCCCAGCAGCGTTGCGCCCTGCGTCTTTAGCCCTGTTTGCCTCCGCTCGGCTCATCACGCGTTGTGGATCAAGTCGTTCCGAGGTGCAGACTTCATCAGCAGAATCCCTCCTCCTGCTGGGCCACACTGACAGGGCCCAGCGGTGCGCTCAGCTAATCAAACACCTGACAACACCAGCGTCACCAGCCACATGTGTGCACCGCGCCCGGGAACCTCTCTGTGCGCCCATTACTGAGCTGTCTACCAGGATCTGTGTGTTAGCAGCCATGTCTGACGAGCTCTCTACTATTCTCCTATGGACCTGAGACATGTGAGATAAAAGCGCAAAACAAGTCAACAGTAAACGGTGGGAAAGGATGAGGTAAAAATACAGTACATGACACGCGGTTCATTAGGTTTAGTTGAATGAAGATAGATAGATGGCGACTGTTTTTTGTAAACCAGGACCACTTTAGTTAACGAGACAACTAGGTACAGAATGACTGTTTTGATGAAGCTGAAGTTGGCTGGATGACTCACTGACCTCAATGGCGACTTTGTGTTAGCCGCCACAGAGGGCCACATAACACAACACAGCAGGCTGCATTTGGCCCCCGGACCTTGGTTTAGACACCCCTGATTTTAAGTATGTTCAATATGAAATCATTTGATACATTCATGGTGCATTACTCAACTGTTCGACTAAAATGTTGTTGTTTTGCCTTGATATGTTCACAGGTTGACTTAAACTTTCCATTTTAGATTGGGACCAAGGATGTAACTTCAGTCTTTTGAACTCTAAAATTAAAATGTTTATGTTTTAAACCAAGCTGAGAGATATTTCAAGCAAAGAATAGGTCAGTAGTATTTTATGTTTCAATCATGAGGATTTTGGAGCGATATACAAAGGCACTCTTCCTCCAGTCACGTCTTTTCATTTTTTATTTGAAACAATTTGAAGACGTCAGCACCCATAAGACTTCAGCATCACATTATGGTCAGGTGAGATTCCTATAGACACAACCTAAGACCTTTAGGTTGTGCAAGTTGCTGTAACAATCTGTTCTGTTCTTCCACTTTGCGTTGCATTCAAATGATTCACCAAATCTATAACTGAAAAAGTCTGACCACTCAGGGCTACTGTATTTCAAACAAAAGTCTCAAGTCTTCCAGCCCCGGTCAGCCCTCGTATTCCAGCTCTCTCCACTGCAGCCCATCTTCAGCGTGCCGACCAGGATCTGTGCGTGTGATGGCGAGGCTGACAAGCTCTTCTCGGGCCTGACATCTGGATAAATGCCTCTCTGCTCATCTGCCGGCTCCAATTCCCCCAGCTTCTGCAGCCCTCCCACTGCCTCCTAAAGAGCATCAAAATGTCACCCAGGCAAACGCACAAGCCCTGATTTATGGACTCGTGATGGGATGTTGAAGCTAAATGAACACGTAACAAGCACGTAGGGCTGCGTTGTGTGTCCAGTGGCCATCCATTTTATATAGCAAGGTCACGGATAAATGCATGTTTATGAGGGTCCCTAGATGGGAGCATTAAAAATTATAGTGGACTAATGGTGCTCCTTTTATTGTTCGGCTGTAGGGCTCAGTAATTGCCGTCTTACGGGCTGCATGCATTTAAGATAATGCAATGCTCTTTTGCTGTTGGAACGTGCTACAGATGTAAAGTGCTACAGTTGAGAAAGCATTCATGTCCAGATCAAGTAGATGAATATATGTTATACAATGATCCCCAATGTTGAAACTGTTGAACTCAATTTTCTGTCATGTACAGATAGCACTTAAAATGGTCAATGGTCAGACTATTGTTCAAATTGTTGTTCACTATTCTTCTTATGTTGAAATGCTGTAGACTGCATAGCCAATAAAAACAACTATGGTTTGTGGAGATGCAAGCGTCCTCACAGAAATAACAAGCATGAGTTCCAAGCAAACATGCCTTTCCATGAGTCTATTTATGGCCTACAGAAATACCTACATGGGGTTCTAATCGCTTGGTACATCCCTGTTCATCTCAGAGCTCAAACTGCGTCAGTGTCAGACCACAGTTCCTGACGTCCAAATTACGTCTTGGCACAATGTGAAACCATAAACCACCTGTAACCGGCAATCTTTTCCACCAATTAAACCTGACGTGGCTTTGTGTTCCCGATGTGCCCGCCCCGCCACGCCAACTCAGCTCTAATCAAGTGAACTGGCCTCTCATTCTTCTCTCCGTCAGCCTGACTGTTCACTAACAATGGCTCATTTCATTGTGATATACCGTTATTTGTGCCGGAGCAGTGTGTCCACGGCTGACAATGTGACAAAGTCTTTGGGGCTCTGTGTTGTGTCCTAAACCGCAGAGATGGCGAGTTATTTAGGGCACATACAGAAGATGTAGCTTCCACATCATTAGCCACTATGATGGAGGAGTTCTGGAACAAGGAGAAAACCATGGCCAGCAGGGGGCAGCGACACAGGGGATGGACAATCGATCCAATTGCATGTGTGTGCAACTCACCCTAAAATCTGATAAACTGTATAAATGAGGGTCCAATAGCGTTGTGTTGTGTAGATACATACAGTATCCTGGTCATAATAATCGAGGCGGCAGTAGCTCAGTTGGTAGAGCGTTGGCCTTTGAGCCAGAAGGTCGTGGGTTCAAGCCCCGCTCAAGACTTTCACCATCGACTCCCACTGACTACTGTCGTTGTGTCCTTGGCAAGACACTTAACCTCTGGGAACACCAGCCACAGTGGGGCGGCTGCGGCTGTAAAGTGTCAAACTGCCATTGTGTCCTTAGGCAAGACACTTCACCCCCATTGCCTAGAATGAGTCAGGTGTGTGTGAATGGTTGGTGGTGGTCGGAGGGGCCGATGGCACATACTGGTTGCCTCGCTTCTGTCAGTGTGCCCCAGGGCAGCTGTGGCTACAGTAGTAGCTTATTACCACCGTGTATGGAGTGAAAGAACAATGACACATGTGAAGCGTCTTTGAGTGTCCAAAAAAGCGCCATATAAAACCGATGCATTATTATTATTATTATTAATTTTGTCACTTTAGTGCAAATTAGTTGAAAGATCAACTTTCTGCCTGAAACCGTCAGTGAGGCGCCATCTGCAGGGGACCTGTATATACTATATTTGGATTTTGAAATTGGCGCAGCAGTGATACCTGACGTCTGCAGTGATACTTGACGTCTGCAGTGAAGGCTGATATCTGCCGCCCAGCGAAGGAAGGAAGGAATAGAAGAGAGTATTTTCATCGATTAGTTATAGCATTTAAGTAGGTTTTTATTAGCATAGCTGTTTGTATTATTGATAATTGTGTAGTGTTAATAGCGTTGTTGTTGAATATTGTACTTTTAGTCACTATTGCTTTATTGTCAAGTGTCAATCACAGCCTAAACCCGCCCAACATTCACCTCCCGCCTGCCCCCTTTAGTCCTCCAGGCTACGCCCATTTGGAGGAAGATTTGAACAGGAAATGTGAGTGACGTAAGCCTCGAAGAGCAGGGGTGAGAAGTTCTTTAGATAAAGTGCAGAGTGACTGGACTTAGCAGTGAGTAAACTATACACATGTCATCAAGGTGATCACATCTTCTAAATTTACTGTTTTTCTTTTATTCGAGCCAAATTGATTATATAAATCAGTATCAATTATATTGTTTTTCTTTTTGTAACACAGATATAATTACATTATACCATGGTCAGTGAGAATGCCAATGCAGTTGATTCTGAGGAAACGGCTTGTTAAATCCCAGCTTCTTTATCACTTGTGTTAATTCACCTCAATGTTTACAGGTGAAAATCGGAAAATTATAATAGTGTTTGTTTGATATATTACAATAGAAATAAAAAATGGGAATAAATAAGTTTAAAGTAATCATTATTGTCCCACTAGGGTTTTGCAAAAATGTACAACCAGAAAAGTCCAAAATAATATTGAAGACAGTAAGAGTGCTAGGTGTGTCACAGCCAGTTAAAACCCAGTGTAGATATGCTGTAGATCAAGATGATAATAATAATAATGCATCGGTTTTATATAGCGCTTTTTTGGACACTCAAAGATGCTTTACATGTCATTATTCTTTCACTCCATACACGTAGGTGATAAACTATAAGCAGTTCCCAACCTTTTTGACCAGTGGTTCTCAAAGTGTGCTACGCGTAGCACTAATGGTACGCCAAAGAATCACTGATTCTTTCTATCATTGTGACGCAGAATTCACCAAGCGTTGGATTGTTCACCCACTAATAGGGAATGTGAGCTGGGTTTAGACCGTCGTGAGACAGGTTAGTTTTACCCTACTGATGTTGTGTTGTTGCAATAATTTGTTTAATTTAACCAGGAAAGTCCGATGCGTTCGAGCGTCGAACTGCATGTGCGTCTCGGGACACACGCACGCAGTCGAGACGCACGGACTGCGCAGCAAAGGTCCTGCAGCGACCAATCAGAGAGCCGCAAAGTGGTCAGGGGACATTAGCGGTCTGAGCGAGCAGACTGAACAGACTTAGTATCTTCTTTCGATTCCCCCTTCTTAACATTTTGACATGTGTTGTATTTCTTGCTCTAATGACTGTAAGCATTGGCCTTTGGGCCTAAAGGTCATGGGTTCAAGCCCACCATAAGACTACCACTGATGTCTGCTGTTGTTGTGTCCTTGGGCAAGACACTTAACCCCACTTTGCCTGAAGCCCTCACTGAAAGATCAAGGCTCCTGCGGACTCACCAAGGGAAGTAAATGGATGGATGGGTGAATGACTGAAAGTTCCTCGCAGTAACATGTTAAAGCATATCAAGCCACACAGAGACAAATGTATCATGTTTCTTTACTTGACAAATGTCTGTGACTTTGTGTCTGTCTTTCACTTACCAAAAAAACGGTAAAATATCATAGAAAGACCAAAATGGGTGCATGGGGTCATGAATTCTGGCCCTTTATGTATTTCTACTGCTCCTCTGCATTTTATCCTGGTATCACATGGTAAGTAGCTGTTGGTATTCTGCCATACAGGAGATTATACGCATTTCTATTTGCATTTCCAATATGATGCCAGAGGGGATTTCCCTATTTATTCATTTGTATTTATTTAGGTAATTACAAACACTTTTTCCTTTTGTGGTCCAACAATTGCACATTTAATTGTTGTATATAATGCAGCATTATTCCACAAGTATTGAAGGCAAATTGAAATGCAGGTGACTTGAAAGGCTATATACAGTGACAGCGGGGTATGTTAGCAACAGCACATAGCAACATGACGCTAATCATATTCAAAGTAGCGCAATGTGTGTAGAAGAACACAGGTCGCTCATGGTTTATGCATAATCCTCCCACCTCTTTAACAGAGCCAACTGTCGGTTTTGGTTAGACCCATGTCATGAAGCAGCACACCCCTCACCCCACACTCGTGCCTTTACTGCCTCTTTCCCTCTGCTCGCGACTACCCAGGCCAAAATAACTGTAATGTGAAAGGACATCGCATATGGCAAGAGAACAGGAGGCGATGATGTGTTGGAGTGATAGAGTATGCGGTTTTTCAAATATTTGTGTTTTTTTAAGTGAGGATGAGGTTTTGGAGACTGTATGGATCCACCATTATCACCTCACTATCAATTTCTTTACAGCTATCCATTTATCTAGTCTAGAGCCATGACAGACCTTAAGCCTCATTCCTTTTTGATAAGAATTCCAAACTATAATGAGACGTAATTCCTCTCTGTGAGTTTCAAAAATGACAAATCGAATATGAACTGATTGGGTGCTGAACAGGTACCTATTCAATTCAATTCAGTGTATTCTTGTACAGCCCTAAATCACAACAGTAGGTATCGCAGAGGACTTAACAAAACCGTTTAAATCACCACCACAGATCAGAGAATCAAACAGTAAAAAAAATAGGGAGAGACCAAGGTCCATGAATGTTGATAAATATCCATAAATATTGTAGGATGTAGAGTGTCACCACAGCCCTTTATGTTAGATCACTAACAGTAAAACAGACCCTCTGCATCGGCGAGGAAGAATTCTAAAACACTGGCACTAAAAGAAAGAGTGGCAATAGCAGTGCAGGGTTTGTTCAGTCCTAGTGCATTAGTGACTTAAAGTAACTTATTCTTATTGTACAGTCTTTTTCACTATTCAGTCTGAAAAATCACAAATTAAATTATGAAAGAGGCCAAATAATGTGAAATCTATAGGGACAGAATTGAACTGTTATGAGAGCGAGGACCTCTTTATTGCTCAGTTCCATTTTACGACTTGACAATTAAGTCTGCAGCTTTAAGAATAATTATTTGTATTGTGTGTGTGTGTGTGTGTGTGTGTGTGTCCGTTTGTTTGGTATCCGTATTTTAATCCCACATCCCTCTGAAACTGAAACTCCCTGTTTGTTGTGCAGCGAATACAAAGATTTGGTGATAAAACGTGGCCACACAGTGAATGGGCCGTTTCACTGTGGCGTTATCAGCAGGTGAGCAGGACGCACTGGCTCCGGCTGCTGCTTTCACTGGATCCACTTTGTTCCCAGCCAGGAGAGCGTCACTGGAGAACTGTAAAGTCTGCAATTTACACATGAGTAAAAGAAGAGAGGAGAAAACTGCTCCTGCACCAGTAATATGTGTTATGTGAACTGCATCAAGGTGGTGCAAGGTTTTGGATGTGTCGGTTTCTGGACTGCGATAAGAGTTCAGCGAGGAGGTGGTGCAATAAATCACCTCAAACCCTCTTTGAACCATGTACTTGTTATTTGTAACTTACATTGACCTCAGGAATGGGACTTTAATGCGTTAATTCAGATGGAACGTTTACATGGGATGAGTTTGCCGAGAGATTACACTGGAGCACCAAATACCGTTCATGACTTCATACAGCTACAAACCACTGCTAGCTGTGATGTTCTCTTTTTCATGTACATATTTATTTTTTGGTATAAAAGACCATAAGACCTATTTCATGACTCCCACTGATAACTGCTGTCGTTGTGTCCTTGGGCAAGACACTTAACCCCACTTTGCCTGAAGCTCCCGCTGAAAGGTCTCAGCTTCTGTGGACTCACCACCTGCAGGAGGATCAGTGAGGGGCTGGTGCTCTGTGACTGGGTGCAGCTCTGACTGCCACCCCCGACCCAGAAATGGATTAAGGGGAAGAAAATGGATGGATGGATGGATATTTATTTTTCAATATTTAAATAGCTGCATTGCGTCGCTAATATAGATGAATAATAATAAATAAATAATAAGCTGACCGCATTGGTTCGCCCCATGGATGGGAAATATTTTTATAAAAATGAACGACTGGAAGCGTCAATAAGAGCGTGGTTGTGTTTGCATATCACAACAGCACATGGAGTATCACGTCGATGCTACAAATAGAGCTAGCATGAACGTTAGCCTGAATACAAAGATACACACCCGAGCCACACTTCAACAGGTGACTGGTTTAAAGACCAGG